CAGCATCACATCGCGGAGGTAAAGCGGAGAGTCATGCAGGGCATGAGGCACGACATTCTGCAGCAGCGTAAGATAGGGTACGTGGACCCTGCCTACATGGAATCCGCGACGGCGGCCGACAGCTTGCTCCTCAGCAGACAAGGCGTATATGCCCCAGCAGTGCAGTTCTTGCGAGGAGAATGTTCTACCACCAGACTCGTTTCAGTCCAACACAACCGACCAAGCCTCAAGGCTGGCTACCTGAATCCAACCTCTTAGCCCAATGGTCTTGCCTCGGAGCCAGACTACACAATTTAATAAGGTTGAAGAAAGAGGGTCGGGACGGCGGAGCTAGCTTGGGGGTGGTGGAGAGCATGCGTAAGGTGGGGGAGAGCCTGGAAGGCCTGCCTCCCATTTTACAATGTGGCGCTGGTAAAACCTTCCTTGGGACCCTGGGCGATTCTGGAGCGCCCTTGGGTAGCCTTGGCGATGAGCAGCTGCGTCGGCAGACCAAGTCGGCCGATGGGCTTATCAAAGTGATCGAAAGCCGTTATGTTAGAGCCAGTTCCTAAAGTGTTGAGGGGTGGGCGCAGGCCTCGCTGAATCGAGGTGCGGGCGCAGTGCATAGACACCAACTGTTTGGGGGACCCCAGAGAAGCTTCTTTCGATTGAGCACGACGACGCTAAGTCGACGAGCCCGCGGGCATCTTGGACGCTCTGCGGTTGAACAAGGTACGCCCGCAGGTGAAAAGGCGCGCGGGCGGCGAGCAAGCTGGCGGCAAGTGGGGCGGTTCGCTGCTCGCCACAGGTATCACGGCAGCGACCCAGGATCGGCGGGATGCCAGCCTGTCTTCCTTCAGGGATATCTTGCGCATGGTTTTGACTTGGCGTGGAGGGGCGCGGTCAAAGTCCCGTTGTGCGACAGCGGCGCGCGGGGCAGGATGTGGCCCCACGTAGGCTCTGCACTTGTCAATGAACAAATTCGCGTCCGCTGGGGACCCCTGCTTGGCGGCGCTTTCCGCCTCCAAGACTCCGGGGTCGGTCAGGGTCGCCGGCCTGGCGCGGACTTGTCCGGCGTGCTGATGCGCGCCATGGCACTCGAGCTGCAGGGCCACGTGACTGGCGCAGGCGTGGACCCCGCGCCGCGGGCGGCGCTGGCGCGGCAGGAGGCGGACGGTTCGGCGGGCGATGAGTCCGACGGGGCGGTTCGGCCGCGGGTTCACATGGAGGCGGCGGTTGCCAAGGAACGTCGCCGACCAGACCGGCCAGGACACGTTCGTTCCCTGGTCGGGGGGGGCGAACAGCTGGCGCTCCTGGACAGCACGTCGCCGCGCAGGGTTGGCCCAGCGCAGGTCGTGGATGGTGCGCTCCTGCTGCAGTCCTCGGTCATGGGCACACGCGCAGCGCGTGCCCGTCTTGAGGCGGCGCGCGAGCGGTGAAACCACGCGTTTCAGGGTGGGGAAAATGCCAGTCGGTCCTGTCGGCCGGAGCACCCCAGGGCCCAGCGGGCAGCTATGGTTCATTGTGCGGGGTGGGAGTGGAGGTTCGCGCAACTATTAAAGTCTCGGGTTCGGTGGCAGATGCGGATCTTACTTCCCGGCCACGTTGGACCGCACCTGCGCCATGATCGCTTCGCAAACGCAGGAATTGGTGACGTCGATTGCAGACTTGGGTCTGGATATCCCCCTGCTCGCCGCGCAGCTTGGGAAGCGCACGCTGCCGGCGGCGCTCTATCGGGGCGAGTTACTGGCGCACCACGCAAGCAAGTGGATGGGCCGCGGCGCCCCGGCGCCTGAACGAGGCTGTGTAGCTATGTATTCGGCTGCCAAGAGCACGCTGGGGGTTCGGCGCAGCGCGCCCTGGGGGGGGCAGGGGGCCACGTGCGCTGCTTCTCCGAGCTGCGCCTGTTCACGCGCGTCGCGGCGACTTGGCCCAGCGGAAAGGGCGCGCATCAATCCCCTTCCTGCGGAGGCGGCGGTTTGCACGGCATGCTTGAGAGCAGCGGCTGTTACGGGCGAGGCATGGCGCGACGGCCGACGGCAACGCCAAGAGCTACGGGATTGTCCCGCTGCGCTTGGCTCGAGACCAGGCAGCCGTGAATCGTTCCGACAGGGCGAAATGCCGCTCTGTGGTGGGCCAGTGGAGACGCGCAGCGGTCAAGCCCGCAATCGGGCGCGCGGGGAGGCGCGGTTCCGGGGGCAGATGGCCGTCCAGTTCGCAGCGGGAGGCGCGCCGCACGTTGCCCCGGCCTCGGCGCGGTCGCCGTTTCCGCAAGGCTTGCAGCGGGGCTTTTGGAGGCGGCGCGTCTGGAATTATGTCGGGGCATGGATGATTGCGCGCGTGGCGGGCGCTATTCCGCAGGCGGCGCGGGGTCGCGGCGGCCTGGCCCCCGCCCTCGCGCCCTGCCCCCTGCGCGGGGGTCGCGAGGCTACGCTGGGCCACCTGCTGGTGACCTGCTCCAGTGCGGATGTCTGGCGCCGGGCGCTGCCGGGAGGAGGCGCTGCGGCATCTACCCGGCGGGCGCTAATTTGGGCGCTAAGTGCGGGGGGCACGTTGCCGAGATTGTTTTTTTGTTCGGTCGGGTTTGTGGGGCTCTGGCGACAGGAAGTACTATTATGTTTAGTCTCTATGTCTCCGCCGCCCCAGGGGGTGCGGGGTTGCCGATTTTGCTGCGCCCCCGGCTGCTGACCTGCTTGCCGCTCTGCTGCCCCCCCGCCCGCCCCGCTGCTGCGCCCCCCCCCCCCGTGCTGCCCCCTCCTGCTCGTCTGCCGCTGCCCCCTGGTTGCGGCGCTGCGGTGCCGCGTCGCTGCGGCGCTGATTTTGCCGCGGCGCTGCGGTGCCACGTCGCTGCGGCCGCCCGCTGCTCGTGCATCGGCGCCCTCGCCTTCTCCACCTCCTCCAAGGCTCGAACCTCGGATCGCGCTCAGGACTTCACGCGCCCGCGTTTTTGTTTTTTCCGCGCCCCCTCCTCCCCAGCCGCCTCCTCCTCTTCCTCCTCCTCCTCAACCTCCTCCGCCTCCTCCTCCAGTCCTTCTCCTCCTCCCCCTCCTCCTCCTCCTCCTCTTCCTCCTTCTCCTCCTCGGACTCCGCCGCCGCCTCCGCCTTCCCCACCCCCTCTTTCTCCTCCTCCTCCGCCTCCGCCTCCGCCTCCTCGTCCTACTCTTTCTCCTCCACTTCCTCCTCCTCCTCCTCCTCCTCCTTCTCCTCCTTTTCCTGCTCCCCCTCCTCCTCCTCGTCCTCGTCCTCGTCCTCGTCCTCGCCCTCCTCCTCCTCTCCTCCTCCTCCTCCCCTCCTCCTCTCCTCCTCATCCTCCTCCTCCTCCTCCTCCTCCTCCTCCTCCTCCTCCTCCTCCTCCTCCTCCTCCTCTCCCCCCCCCTCCTCCCCCTCCTCTCCCTCTCCCTCTTCCTCCTCCTCTTTCTCCTCCTTAACCATTCCTTCCTTGTCACACCCCGAGGCCAGTTTGTCGGGCGGGCCGGGCGTTTCGCCAGAAACTTCCTCACCATTTATGACCCCGAAGATTGAAAAAGGTGATAACACTTTCACAGATGGAAGGCGGGTGGCTTTCAAAATGCGGTTCTCGCCTCCGCGCCGCGCACATTCGTTTTATCAAATTGCGGTCGATTCACGGATTGAGGGTTCTCGCCTTAGCGCCGCGCACATTAGTTTTCAACATTTCAAGAGTTTCACGGATTGGGGGCGGCTCCTTTTCAAAATATGGTCTCGTCTTGGCGCCTCGCACATTCGTTTTCAACAATATCAAGAGCTCCACGGATTGAGGGCGACCCTTTTTCAAAATGTGGTTCTCGTTTTAGTGCCGCGCACACTCGTTATTAACATTTGCAAGGGTTTCACGGGCTCCCATGGTCAACGTACCAAAAGTTGTGTGCGGAAGGGTTCCGGATTATGCGGGAAAACAATTATGTCAATTCGTTGTGTTGAAGTCATCAACAATGTCGTTATGGCACGCTTCTGGATCGCCAAGGCGCAGCAGTCAGGATGATACGCGGCCTTGACTGACATCCCGAGAACAATTTTTGGGCACGGTTCAGAATCCTCAAACGGTTGTCTTCCAACGAGGCAGTTCAATGGAAATGAACCGTTGTGGGGGCCGACGAAGAGGGGGCTCGGAGGGAGGGTTAATTCCAACATCGTTGATGACTCTAGGGTTTCCAGTGGTCCTCCTCCTCCTCTTCCTCCTCCTCCTCCTCCTCCTCTTCCTGTTCCTTCTCCTCCTCCTCCTCCTCCTCCTTTCCTCCTCGTCTGCCTCCTCCTCCTCTTCCTTCTCCTCCTCCTCCTCCACCACTCTCTCCTGGGGCACTCTGGTTCGAGCGCGGCTGGGCCGTCCGCTGTTCGTGCATCATCGCCCTCTCTCTCTCTCTCTCTCTCTCTCGTCTCCTCCTCCCGGGTTCGGTCTCGGCTCGGGCTCGGGATTTTGCGCGACCGCGTTTCTCTCTGGGCCTCCTCCCCTTCCTTCTCTTTCTCCTCCTCCTCATCCTCCTCGTCCTCTTCCTCCTCATCAGCATCCTTATCCTCCTCCTCCTCCTCCCTCTCCTCCTTTTCCTCCACCTCCTCCTCCGCCTCCTCCTTCCGTTCCTCCTCCGCCTGCGCCTTCGCCTCCTCCCCGGCCTCCTCCTCCTCCTTTTCCTCCTCCTCCTCCTCCTTCTCCGCTTCCTCCTCATCCTCCATCCTTTCTCCTTACAACATGAGTTCTCCCTGTCGCACCCCGAGACCAGTTGTTAGGACGGGCCGGGTGGTTCGCCGGAGATCCCCTCACCATTTATGATTCTGAAGCATGACAAAGTGGCAACAGCTCCACAGAAGAAGGGCGAGTGGTTTTCAAAATGTGGCTCTCGCTTTGGCGCCGCGGACATTCTTTTTAAGAAGTTGCAAGAGCTTCACGGACTCAGGGTGGGTCGTTTTCAACATGTGGCTCTCGCCTTAGCGCCGCGCACATTCGTTTTCAAAATGTTGCAAGGGTTTCGCGGATTGCGGGCGACCCGTTCTCAACATGTGGTTCTCGTTTTAGCGCCGCGCACATTCGTTTTAACAAATTGCTCGAGCTTCACGGATTGAGGCCAATGCGTTTTCAAAATGTGGTTCTCGCTTGAGCGCCGCGCACATTCGTTGTCAAACATTTGCAAGAGCTTCGCGGATTGAGGGCGGTTCCTTTTCAATTTGTGGTTATCGATTTTGCGTCGCGCTCAGTCGTTCTACAAAATTGCAAGAGTTTCACGGATTCCCATGATCAGCGTACCCGAAATTGTATGTTATAACGATTCAGGATAATGCGGGCGCAGCAGTTATGTTGGCTCGCGGTGTTCAATTCCCCAAAACGGCGTTCTGGCACGATTGCGGATCGTCGAGACGCAGCAGTCAGGGTGATTTGTGCATGGAATCCCGAGAACAATGTTTTGGCATGCGTTAGGTTTTTCAGACGGTTGTCTTCCAACAAGGCAGTTCCCTCAATGGACATGAACCGTTGTAGGGACCTATGAAGAGCTCGGAGGGAGGGTTAATTCCAACGTCGTTGATGATTCTTGGGTTTACATCGGTCCACCTCGTCCTCCTCCTCCTCCTCCTCCTCCTCTTGATCCTCCTCCTCCTCCTCCGCCTCCTCCTCCCCCTCCTCCTCCATTCTTTTCCCTTGACAATAACTTCTCCCTGTCACACCCCGAGGCCAGTTGTTAGAGCGGCCGGGCGTTTTGCCCGAGCTTTCCTCACCATTACGATTCTGAATATTAAAAAATTGGCAGCCGCTTCACAGATAGAGGGCGGGTGGTTTTCAAAATCTGGCTCTCGCCTTAGCGCGGCGCACATTAGTTTTTTAATTTCGCAAAGGTTTCACGGATTGCGGGCGACCCGTTTTCAACATGTGGTTCTCGTTTTAGCGCCGCGCACATTCGTTTTAACAAATTGCTCGAGCTTCACAGATTGAGGCCAATGCATTTTCAAATGTGGTTCTCGCTTGAGCGCCGCGCACATTCGTTGTCAAACACTTGCAAGAGCTTCGCGGATTGAGGGCGGTTCCTTTTCAAAATGTGGTTCTCGCTTTAGCGTCGCGCACTGATCAGCGTACCAGAATTCGTGTGTTGTAAGGATTCCGGATAATGCGGGCGCAGCAGTTATGTTGATTCGCGGTGTTCAATTCCCCCAAACGGCGTTCTGGCACGATTCCGGACCGTCAAGACGCAGCAGGCAGGTTGATCCGTGGTTTTGAAATCCCGGGAACAATGTTTTGGCATGTTTTAGGGTCTTCAAACGGTTGTCTTCCAACGAGGCAGTTCCCCCAATGGAATGAACCGTTGAAGGGGCCTGTGAAGAAGGAGTTTGGAGGGAGTGTGTATTCCAACATCGTTGATGGCTCTTCGGTTTACACTGGTCCTCCTCCTCCTCCTCCTCCTCCTCCTCTTTATGCACCTCTTCCTCCTTCTCCTCCTCCTCCTCCTCCTCCTCCTCCTCCTCCTCCTCCTCCCCCACCCTCCCTGCCTCCCTCCCTCCCTCCCCTCCCTCCTTCCCCCCCCCCTCCTCCCCCATAACCCCCGCTCCGGGCGTTGCTGCTGCTCCTCCTCTCCCCCCCGCTCTGGAAGAGGACGGGGGAGGAGGACGAGGCAGAGGAGGAGGAGGAGGAGGGGGGGAGTCAGGACGTCGTGGGCCTCGACCTACCCCTGGTCATTGTGGCTCAGGCCAGCTGTAGAAAACGGAGCAAGACGTATTCCAAGAGTCTGCAAGCAAACGCGAGTAAAAGAGGGGGGCGAGTGGACGAGGGGCGAAAGGCATGGGCGGCAGCAGGGCAGCGACGAGCACGAGAAAGAGGGCGACGCGAACCTACAGCAGGGGGACGAGGACGAGGAGGGCCTCCACGCCCTCCATGCCCCTGCCCGTTCTGCCCCCCCCCCTCCCCCCCTGGATTCACTCTCTTTCTCGTTCCCCCTCCCTCCCCGCAGCGTGCCTCCTCGCCGCGTGCCTTTCTCGTTCCCCCTCCCTCCCTGGCTCCCTCGCCGCGCGTGCCCTCCCTGGCCCGGCGTCCTCCTCCGCTGCCCCCCCCCCCCCGGCCCATCTCCTCCCCTCTCTGCCCCCCCCCCTTTCCGCACTCCCCCCGCCTCGTTCGCCCCCCCCCCCCCCAATCGCTCGCCTCGAACAGCAAGCGGTCATGACAGGTGCGGGCCCCGGACTCAAGTCGGGCCTGTCCTTCCACAGGGGGAAAATTCGAGAATTGTCAAAAAGATATTGAGGGAACGACGCTTCGATTACTCTTTGACAATTAAACGACGCTTCGATTATTCGTTGACAATTATCAAGCATTCTTGTTTGACTATTTTTCATGTTTCGTCCAAGATGCGCCTGTAGGAGGACATGCCCGACCTAATCCCAGACCCCGGGGCCCTCCTTGGGACCGGCTCTCCATCGCGAGCCTGTGCCTCGACGCGGAGAAGACTCGGCCCCTGGGGCCCGAGAGCGGAGAAGGCGCGGCCGGCCCTCCAGGACCCGCATGCTCCCTTCCAGCATTCGAGCAGGGGATCGACTGAAGAATAGATTCTCTTAGGGGGCCTCATGCGAACCCCACCCCTACCCCCCACGATTTCGGAGGGGGAGGGTGGGGTTCGCTTCGCTCGGGAGTTCCCGAACGAAGTGAACCCCACCCTCCCCCTCAGAAATCGTGGGGGGTAGGGGTGGGGTTCGCATGTGGCCCCCTATTCTCTCTCTCCGAGGCTGATTCACCCGCCGGATCGAAGAGAACACGTTGAGTGCTCCGTAGCTCTGCGGAGCTCTCCAGGCCTCTGCTGCGGCCCCGACGGGAAGAGACGAGCCTGGGGCAGCCCAGTTCTGCAGTCGAACCCTCCACTCGACACAGCGGTCCCCGCCCGCATCGCCTCCGCTTCGCTTCCCCCCCCCCCGACCCCCCTGGCCCCCCCGCGGCCGGCGCGGGCCGCTGGCCCCCCATCGCGCCCCGCGGGCGCGGGGTCCGGCTGCCGCCCCGGGCCCGCGGCGTAGCCCCGAGCGGGCGGGCCCGCCTCGCCGTTGGGCGAGGCTCTTTTTTGCCCTGTCCTACAGCGTGGAGGCCCATGCCAAGAAACACCCGCGCGTCGACTGCTGGCGCTGCGCGCGACCTCTCCGGAGGCCCCGCGAAGCCCCCCAAAGCCCATCAGATCCCCCCAAAGGCCCTCCGAGCGGCATGTTACGGGAGCTCCAGCAGAAGACCCGCAGATTCACCCGCGAGGCTCCTGACCCACGGGCCAGACACGGTGGCACGACTCCGAACGCATTCACAGCTATGGAGGTCGGCAGAATGGCGTGCAGCGGGGGCCCATGCCAAGAGACACCCTGGGCTTCTTGGGTGTCGATGGTTTTTTACCATGGAGGGCGTGGCGCTCCCACACCAGAGATACATGGACGTCCTGGGGTATCAGGGTTGGGTTTCTGGTGGAAGGTATCTTGCGGACTGGCCTCCGCTGTAGCCCCGCCCAGCCTGCCCGGAGAGCGTCGCCTGGCGGCCTGAGCCCCTCGGATCCTGGCGCTGCGCCGTTTTGCAGCACGATCGAAGTGGGCACGGGAAAATGAGTCGTTTAAAATCAATGTGTTGCCGATCGGCGCGGGCCCCAAAACCCCTTTTCCTCCCCCTTCCCTCCCCCCCCCCATGGAGTAGATCTTGGCTGTTTTGGGGGGCGCCTGTTTCGAGCGGGTGGAGTCTCCCCCAGAGGCGGCACGCTTGCAAACAGTCGCATGAAGCAGGGGTCTGGAGCCAGACCCCCCCCCCCCCTTTTCCGCCCAATGTCGAAACGCCGAATAAAAAAAAACGCTCACACAGTAAGGGCGAAGATTGACAGCAGATCTTGTCCCTTCTGAGCAGGACGCTCCTGTCGGTGTCGTCGCAGCTGTGGACCATTTGAGACTAACGGTCACCCGCCCGACAGCGGCCGCTGTCTCTTTTGGTCAACATGTGTTGTGTGGCGTCGTAAGCATTGATCCCGTGCGCTACCCATTTCGGGCGTGCCAAGTTCAGGAGGGAAGTACACACGGACACTATGAATCGTCGATCCCCACGAAAAGATTGGAAAATATGGGATGTGGGGAGGGAGACGACACTCCAGGAAGTATGCGAAGATATGGGGCATCCTCGGACTTGTGTACACTTTGTTGTGTGTCCCTGGGCCTCTCCACAAGCTTTGAATGTCTGGCCTCGCCCAGCCGTCGGGCCTCGGGACCTTCAGTGACCGACTCTGGTAGGGCTCTTGCGATTCCTCCGATGCGATTCGATTCTATTTCGATGGTTTCTGATTCGATTCGATTTGGGAGTCCGATTTGGATGCAGATTCCTCAATTGAGGCCGACTGACCTGCCGGTTCCCGCCGATTCGGTTTTCCCGGTTCGGCTGCCGATTTCCGCCGATCCGATTGTTTTCGATAGCCGATCCGACTTGACGATTCGATGCTCGGCCCTCCTACAGTCATCCCGTATAGTAAGGATGCGGGATAAGGATGCAAGGGCCTTGGAGTGCCGCGGCCAACGAAATTGGCCAAGGATGGACCGAGGAGGCAAAGATGCAAGGGTACCCTTGGGAAGGTTGCCCATCCTTACTATGCTTAAGTCGGGCCTGTCCCCCTGCAGGGGGAACTTGGACGAAAAAATAAAAAATACCCCAAACATTTTCAAAAAATCATCCAAACATAGTCTGGGGGCTATTTTTGTTTGAGAATGTTCTGACCTTTTGTTCGTCGAAAACCCATTTTCAAAAAATCATCCAAACATAGTCTGGGGGCTATTTTTTTGAGAATGGTCTGACCTTTTGTTCGTCGAAACTCCCCCCGTAGGGGGACACGCCCGACATAATACTCTGCGGGATACCCCACAGATAGTCAAACAATGATCCAAAAATAGCCTGGGGGGCATTTTTGTTGAGAATGGTCTGACCTTTTGCTCGTCGAAACTCCCCCCGTGGGGGGACACGCCCCCCTACAGGGTTTTTTGTTGACTCTTTGTGGGGTATTGTTTTTATTGTTCGTCGAAAACTATTTTTTGTATTGGGATTATTTGTTGATTATTTGTGGGGTATCTTTTACTGTTCGTCGAAAACTATTTTTGTATTGGGATGATTTGTTGATTCTTTGTGGGGTATGTTTTATTGTTCGTCGAAACTCCCCCCGTGGGGGGACACGCCCGACATAATACTCTGCGGGTTGACTGTGCCCCGGCCCGAGAAGGACCGCCGCAGGGCGGCGCCCGGGGGCCGCGGGCCTGCCGAGGGCGGGGGGGGTCGCGAGGCCCCGCGTGGGGCCCGCGGCACCGGATCGCAGGAAAGCGCCGCGCAGGGGGCGATCGCAAGGGGACGAGCAAGAGGAGGAGGAGGAGGAGGAGGAGGAGGAGGAGGAGGAGGAGGAGGAGGGGGACGAGGAGGGAGGGGAGGAGGAGGAGGAGGAGGACGGAGGGGAAGGAGGACGGAGTGGAAGGAGGAGGAGGAGGGACGAGTTTCTATCCCCCGCCGAGAGCTTAGGGGGGTGGGTGCCCCGCTCGCAGAGTGCTGGCGGGGCCTCCCGAGGCCCGCGCAGCCGTGCAGTCGGCCCTGATTAGGAGGTCGACCCGGCCAGATCGAGGGTACCCTTGCGTCCCGTGCCTCGCGGCCAACGCCTCCCACATTCCTAGGGCAATGTGGCCCTCGGAAGGGTCTCGTGTCCTCTCGCGTGTCCTGCCCCTATCAAGACCGACTGCATCGCGCATCCTTCTCGTGCGGGTTGGCTGCAGCGTCTGCAGCGGAAGGGGGAAGGGGAGGAGGAGGAGGCGGAGGAGGAGGCGGAGGAGGAGGAGGAGGAGGAGGAGAGGGAGGAGGGAGGGGAAGGAGGAGGGAGGGGCGATCGCAGGGGGACGAGCAATAGAAGGAGGAGAGGAGAAGGAGGAGGAGGAGGAGGATGGACAGGAGGCAAGGGAGGAGTGGAGGAAGGAGGGAGGGGAAGGAGGAGGAGGAGGAGGGACGAGTTTCCATTCCCCGCCCAGAGCTTAGGGGGGTGGGTGCATCCTTAAAGACCCTCTGCGGTGATTTTTGGATTCCCAGGTTCCCATCTGCGTTAAGCGCCTTCTTACTTTTCAGGGCCGAGTGGCTTCACCTGTTCCGTCCTCCTTCGTCGGGGGTGGATAGACCTCCTGCCCTGACACGTCGATTAGTGAATTGGCCGTTTTCGGTTCGCGAGAGGGCGTCGCGGCCGTTATTTTCGCGGGTCCAGGTCCGTCGGTTACGGTCCCAGGCCGTTTTCACTAGAGGGAGGTTTACTAAAGTGAGGTTTGTCCACCGCCGAACAATGACATAGACACACAAACTCGGAGGTCCGCGCGGATTTCTCGGATCCGCGCTGGACCCCCCTCCTTGGCGCGCGGGGCGCGCCAGAGGCGGCGCCCGGAGGCGCGGTCCAGTGCCGATACGAGAAATCCGCGCGGACCTCCGAGTGTTTGTGTTTATGCCATTGTTCGTTCCCCTCCGATCGGGCACTATCGTGCAGCAGGAACCCTCCATTTGAGACTAACGGTCACCCGCCCGACAGCGGCCGCTGTCTCTTTTGGTCAGCATGTGTTGTGTGGCGCCGTAACCATTGATCCCGTGCAGTACCCATTTCGGGGTGAGGAGGAGG